GCACACAAGAGCCATTAATCTCCTACTTCTAGTAATTAGGTAAATTCAGCGTAACAATGCTTTTTGTAGACGACTCATAAATAGTAAAAATTGAAGATTCCCAAATCATATTTTCTTTTTATTATAAACTCCAGGTAGATCCTGATGTTACAAAAAATGAATCGTTAACTAAGAAACCAAAACTTTTTTTTCAAAAATTTACGGTTGAAGTCAACTGAAAAGTACGAGAGACTATTTACCGATTTTTTTTTTTCGTCTGCGTTAAATAGTTGGTTTTGTAAAACGTGCAAATCATTTGCCGCTCATGGTGGTTCAAGGGCTTTTATTGAAAAGCCAGGAATGTTTGCAGATCATCCTGTTAAACATTCATCTGCCCATTTATCATCGGTTCGACATAAAAATGCAATAAAAAACAAACAAACATTCCAAGAGTGGAGTAAAAGAGACACAGATTTTTGGAAAATGATTGGTGAAAATAATCTTGCACAGGAAAGTGTTAAAGATTCAAAAACAAGATTTGTTCTGAAGTCTTTTTTTCGCGTAACTCATATACTTATCATGAAGAATTGGGCTCATACTCATAACTTTAAAGAATAAATAGAGCTTGTTGCGCAATGTGGGGGAAAAGATGTACAATTTCATCTACTACTCACACCTGGAAATGCTACCTATATATATATATATATCTAATATATATAAATGTCACCCATGTATATATCTAAATATATTAATATTATATGCAACTTTGTCAAGCGTCCACTGAGTCACTTCGAGGGAAAAAATATGCATTTTATTCAGATGAGACCTCAGATATTACATCGGTTGAACAACTAGCTATTTATGCATCTTTTGAACATTGTGGTTTAGTAAAAGAACATTTTGTTGGACTGCTACTGTTAAGTAAGTAGTTGGGACAAGCTTATCTGCCAAAAACTTATTTAAAGTTATTGAAGATTTTTTTATATCAATAGATGTTCCATTGCGCAACGCTCGTTATGCATGCATGGATACTACCAATGTGAACTCAGGAGAGAAAGGGGGTTTAAAGGCATACTTAGAACATTCAGTCCCGCAACTAATTTGGGTTGGCTGTAGTAGCCACAGGTTAGCATTATGCTTTAAACATCTTTATCTAACTTTGTAAATGTGTAAATGTGTAAAGGAAGCCGATGTGTTTCTTCTTCCAATGTGTTTCTTCTTTGGAAATTTTTTAAATATTGTACAACAGCAATGAATTTGCTGCAGGAAAGTGCTAATATTTATGGCGATATTGACAACATTGTGCCTATATGCCCGAGTACAACTCGATGGACAGCTCACCAAAGAGCCTGCTTGACTTTTTTCGGCAACTATAACAACTTTTTAATTGCCTTATGTACTTGCTATAATGAGCGAAAAGAAACAGAAGCCCTTGGTTTGTTTATGCAAGCTTTAAGTAAAGAAACAATACTGTCAATACTTATGTTGTTAGATGTTTTTTCCGCCATTGGTCCTCTTGTACTTTCTTTGCAGTGATCACAAGAAAGTATTTGTTTGAGTGATACTCCTGTATACGTTGAACAAACAGACTTGAATTTGAATGCGAATTTAAATGGATCTAAAAGGAAATTCTTTACATTAGAAAATTACAAAAACATGAAATCTACTGCCAGTGCCATTTGCGCATCTCTACCTACATCAAGTCGTTTGCGCAAGGAAAAAATAACATTTGAAAACTTTGAAAAAAGTATTTATTTAACATTTTTAAGTTCTTTTAAAATTGAGCTGACGAAAGCATTTGAACAAATGAAATTTTGGAAATGTTTATCGGTTTTTGATCCTCGCAATTTTCCTACAAAAATGGCTGATCTGATTGATTACGGCAAAGGAGAGATGTCAACATTATTAAATCACTATGGGAACCTTCGTGAAAGTAATCAATTCAGTCAAACGGTGCAACAAGACAGAGATGTAGATCCGGAGAAAACGAAAGTCGAATTTGAGGATTTTAAATATTTAATATTTTCAATGCGAAAGGAGTGGGAAACACGTTTTGATTTAGAAATACTTAATGCATCCACTGAACAACAGCAACAAGAAAAAAAGAGAGTCGTACTGTGCTCAATCCTTATGGACTGGTTTAAAAAGAACTAGTTTAAATCAGGATTTATATAGTAACTGCATGTTTTTATTGAATTTACTGTTGATTTTTCCGATAAGTGTTGCTTGTGTAGAAAGGCTGTTTTCTAAATTAAAACTAGTAAAAAATCGAGTACGCAACCAGTTGTCTCAGAGTACACTTGAAAGTCTTTTGATGATATCAACCGAAAGTCCTGAACAAGGATTCGAAGATGAGGCTCTTGAAAGTTTCGTTGAGGAGCTGAAAAAATAAATCCTAACATCAGAGTTAAACTATAATTAATATAATTTAAATATTTTACCTCTGAGTTGTAATTAATATAAAAAACAAAACAGTGTGTCTAATTAATAAGACAAACTGTTTTATCTTATGCGAGAATTAGTTTTTATCTTTTTAAAAGATGTTTTATACTTGACTTCTTCACCTAGGAAAGTTAAAAAAAAATAATTTAAAATTGTTTATTTTCACTAACATTCATATTCAACTCGTTTCTCCGCGCAGTGGCCTTGCTCGTCAAGGTTCGTGTTTCGGAGTTATAGAGTTGAGAGAGGGTTATAACCACAAATAAGTATCCTCCTCGTCTGTAGTGGCTTTCTCGGCCTTGAGGAGGTGAATTAAAATAAAAAAAAAATAAAATAAAATAAAAAATTTAACATAAAAGATTATTTTAGGAGTATTTATGAAAGTATTTTTTCTTTTGTTTATAAATAAATAACGATCAAAATAGGGTTGTGTTTAAGAAATGCTTTATTGATTTAAAATATTATTTGATTTCTCAATTTGCTTGTGTATCAAAAAATAATTTTTTTATTTTATTTTTGGTGCTGTCCAATAAATCTATCCAGCGCTGAAGTGGAGTGGAAGAGGAAAGAAGATAAAAAAAGGGCCCACGCATTCCCGGAACACATTTTAATTACAGGAATGGTGGAGGGGTAGATAGAGCTGGGGGTTGGGGTAGGTGTGTGTGTGTGTGCGTATGGGGGGTGGGGGGTGGTAGGTAGGGGTAGAGGGGGTATTAATCAGAAAATATTTTATCAAAATCCCAATTTTTTCAAAATGCTGTATCAAATTTGTTCCTGGTTAACACCCTGGTAGTAGTAGTAGTAGTAGTAGTAGTAGTAGTAGTAGTAGTAGTAGTAGTAGTAGTAGTAGTAGTAGTAGTAGTAGTAGAAGTGTTGCTCTTTTGAGCGTGTTGACACGGAACTCTTGGCAGCCATTGCAACCGAGATAATGGCAAGAAAAAGTTGCATCACTTTTTTATAAGAAAAGTGATCAAAAGTGTATGCAAACATCTAAATTGAGCAAACTATTTTAAAATTATCAAGTTTTACAATTTAAGTAAAAGTTTTATAATTTAACTTTTACTTAAAAAATACGTTGCGTTAATTTTGATTCTAATTACAATGCATCGGCATCGGCCCTGAAATTAGATATATGATGGTTATATACACTTGAATGGAAATGCCACATTCCATTCATGTGACAATGAAAGCAATATTTTAAAATTGTTACTGTTTATTAAAATTGTTACTAAGTTTATTTTTAATTTTTTAATTGTTCTCTTGATAATTAATTAGTTTGATTGAAAAACTTGATTTATAAATATTTATTTTTGCCATGCTGTTCAAATTAGAACGATTTCGTTTTTTATAAAGAATGAATAGAAGGTTTTGATGTTGTTACTTCTAATAATTTGCAAGTTTTACTTCTAACAATTGTTTTTTAATTTAATTTTGTTTTTACGAAATTAAATTATAAAACAATACTTATATAAATGTTTATTTGTTAAATGCTTTAAATTTAATATTAAACTTTTTTATTATTTAATTTTAATATAAATGTAATGAAACATTTTGATTGTAAAGAATAACTGAAAGAGTTTCAAAAAAATCTTTGTTTAAAACACTTTTCTCTTTATAATTCATTATTATTTAATAAAAAATTTCTTATAAATTATAAGAAAACACTTAAAAAGTAGGAAGCCCTATTAAAAGCAGCTCAAAAATTTTTAGTTTAGTGGTTGCATATATGCCTATACAAAACTTATTATTAATACTTATACATTACTAACTTATACATTGCATTAATGTGTATGGTGTAATTCTGTGTTAGGATATAATATAGAAACACAGAAATAAAAATAAAATTTAAAAAGTTTTTAAAACAATCAGCATTGGCCAATGGTTATTAAGGCAGAGGCTGATGCATCAGCTAAATGGTTGATGCATTGGCCATTTAGCTGATAAAAAACTTTTATTCTAAACAAAAATTTAATTTTAACAGTTAGTCTTTTTTGCTATTTTTATTTTCTTGCTATAAATATATATCCAGATTTAAAAAATTGAAAATATATTCTGTTAAGGGTTGGATTTGAACCCTCACAAAACAACACTTATTACAGCACACTAAACTGCTGAGCTATTGAAGATATATGTATAAGAGAAAAACAAACCAAATAAAAGTATATAAGAAATAATTATAGAAATGATCTCTGTGAATAGATAAGTATAAAAATTTCACATGTAAAACATACATGTTCATAAAATTTTTTAACAAATGGCAGCATTTTTAATAAGTTACTAAAAATAATGTACATTTTTGAAACAAATATCATATAACATTTAACCACAGTGTAATTCTTTTACAAAATTTAGTGTAATTTTTCATTTCCTATCAAACATCAACCTTTGAACCTTTTAAAATTTGAACCTTATTTTAGTTATTTACTTTTATTTTTAAGTTATTACTTTTATTTATAAAGAAGTAAAATCAAAAAAAATATTTTACGCTTAATTTCAATGTAATTAAGTATTATATTTTATATATTTAATATTATGAATTATTAAATTAAAACTTAACTTATACAAAACATTACATATACCTATGGATATTCCTGGACAACTCAATGATATAGCTTTACCAGAAGGAGTCATTGGCCAGTCAATTACTCTAAATATTTCTCTTTTGCAGTATTTTATCAAAGGTTGAGCTAATAATAAAAAAAAACAAAAAGTCCTAAATCATCATAATCATCATCAAATAAATGTATGACCTTATATATGCATTTATATATGTATTTGGATATACACATATATGATATATTTTACATATAGATTATACGTATATGATATGTAAAACATTAAAAAAATCTACAGTTTCAGATTTTAAAAATTTTTAAAGTATGAGCCTTGTGATTTAGGTTAAAGTTAGAGAAGGTAAAGTTAGTGATTTAGGCATTTATGCCTAAATCTTTATCTTCCTAAAAAGTGCTATCCCGCATAGATTAAAAAAAAATTTTAAAGTTAGTATTTACATATAATATATATCAAAATTGAAGTGCAAAGATTTTAGAAGCATCTCAATAAAAATATTTTCAATGAAACAAATATTATATATATGTATATATATGTAAAAAATTATTTTATAATATCTGTAAAATAAGCTAGGAATCAAAAAAACTCTAATATCAAAAATGTTGTTTTATGTAGGGTTCTTCTCTGAAAAACAAAATTTGCGAAAATTTCGCATCTTTATCTACCGTAATAGAATTGTTAATGCGGAAGTTGCACATGCCAAAATGCACATTCCGTAATGCACTATACAAAAAAATCCGCCTATAATGAATAGCCTATGAATATTAATAGTGCGCGTAGTTACGCATTGTTACGCCTATTGTTCGTTTTGTTAATTACGGTTCTGCATTATGTAAAATACACTATTTTTTTGCCTCTAGAATTTTCTAAGCGCAGTTATATATTCCACGCGGTCATTCAAGTAGAATCAGCAATCAAATTGGAGCTGATACATTTATTTTCAAGAAGAATTAATGTTGTTTGTTTTTTTAAAATAAAAATTTAAATAATTGTTAGTTTGCTATGTGTATATATATATGTATATCTATATGTATTTTCTCTTAGCAAAAATAATTGAGAATAGAAATATAAAAAAAATTTCTTCTGGAATTTGTCAAAAGGGTGTTGTGTTATTCTTCATTTTAAGGTATCTAAATATGTATTTATTTTTCATTTTTTAGAATAAGTTAGAACTAAATTGACTGGTAAAATAGTTTTTTTAGTACAATGTTTTTTTTTTAAGAAAACAGTTTTGTCGTTAGTCTTTTTAAAACATTTTAGGCAGTATTTGTTTTATTTTTTAGAGCAGTTAAGAGGAGCTGATCGCTTTTTTAGTAAGTTCAAGTTATTTTCTCATACATAAATTAAGGTTTTCGATTTATTTCAGTCTATTTTATATTTCTCTATATCTACATATATATTCTCTAAGAAAAAATAATAAGGAATAAAAAAATTAAGAAAATTTCTTCTGGAATTTGTCAAAAGAGTGTTGTGTTATGCTTCATTTTAAGGTATCTAAATATGTATTTATTAGAAATTTTTTTAAACCAAGTTTAAAAAAGTTGTTAAACCAAGGAAATTGTAGAGGTTTATTTATCAATATATACTATAAATTATATAATAATATTGGAGGGAGTAAGTTAAAAAGCATTTTTAAATTTTTAAAAAGAAATAAAAATACTTTTCAATATATATCTGTTTTTTTTTGAGGTAGATTTAAAGTTTCAGGTTTTCAAAATTGTAGATCTTTTTAATGTATAAATAGACATTAAGTATTTCTAAGTAGACATTACGTATATATAAAATCTTTTTAAAATTTAATAAGTAATTATTTGTTTAAATAAGTAGTTAATTGTTATAATTTATTAAGATTTAAATTATTAGAAAATTCATGTTTACAGAGTTGTTATTAATCATTATCGAGTTGTTGAACCAAAGAAATTGTAGAGGTTTATTTATCAAATATATACTATATATATTATATAAAAAATTTTGGTTTTCATATGTTTTCACTAATAAATAGTTCTCTCTCTCTCTCTCTCTCTTTCTTTCTTTCTTTCTTTCTCTTACTATATATAACTATATATATCCTTGGAGTTGCTGCAGCATAATAGTGTGTTAGGAGAAAAAAATTTATAAACCCGTGTTAATAACCTGTTTTCTATCGTACATAATGCATTAATAAGTTTTATTACGTGTTTTGTTCAATGTTTTCTCCCAACGCATGAACTATGACGCTGTCGCAATTTTTTTTTTTTTTTTTATTAGAAATAAGTTTTAATAAGTTTTTGCTGATGTGGTTGCAGGTTTTTCTTAACTTCTATCAAATAAACTTTTTTTATAAATAATTTTTTTTTTTTAATTTTTCGAGTATGATTTTTTTAGTTATTAAGTTTTTTTATTTTATTGTTAACTTTAGATTAGTAAAAAAAAAATAAATAATTAGTGTTGCTTTGATAAATATGTTTAATGAAAATGATGACATTGAAATGGATGATAGGCTAGATGTAGTTTTGTATTTACAAGATGATGTAAGTGCTATAAGGCGTGTTGAAAATAATCGTAGACGAAATGAAAGAAATAGACTTAGGCGAGATAAAATTAATTGTTTACAAAATGAAAGAAATAGGCTCGATCGAGATAATGTTAATCGTCGCCAAAATGAAAGAAATAGGCTCGATCAAGATAATGTTAATCATTGCCAAAATGAAAGAAATAGGCTCTATCGAGATAATGTTAATCGTCGCCAAAATGAAAGAAGAGCTGTTGGACAAGGACGAATGTATTCTATAGCGAGAAGTAATGCTATTCCAGATTATAATTATTTAGGAGAAATGAATCAAATTTGTCAGCACTGTGGTGCTAAGAAATTTCCAGATGAAACACATTTTCTATGTTGCCATAATGGTAAGGTAGCTTTGCATCCACTTTCACCAATTACACAAGCTTTACAGGGTTTGTTTACAGGGAGTTATGTAGATTGTAATGCTAATACTAATTTTTTTTTTTTTATTAGTAATTGTTATTATTATTATTTTTTTCATTTACTATTTTTTTGTAATCGGATACTTAAAATTAAACGAAATATAAAAAATTTTTCTTGCAAAAGTTTATAATCTAAATATTAATAGCCGAATGAATATTATTAGTGCGCATAGTTACGCATTGTTACGCCTATTGTTCGTTTTGTTAATTACGGTTCTGCATTATGTAAAATACACTATTTCTTAGTTTTTAAACTTTTCTAAGCTTTTTAAACTTTTCTAAACTTTTCTTTTATTTTTTAAAATAAAAATTTTAATAATTGTTAGTTTGTTGTTGCTTATTTTTTTTTTTCTCATTTTTATAGCCTGTTTTTATTTTTTAGAAGAAGTTAGAACTAAAATGTTTGGTAAAATAGTTTTTTTAGTAAAATGTTTCTTTTTTAGTAAACTGTTTCATTTTGTCGTTAGTCTTTTTAGAACATTTTAAGCAAGTATTGTTTTATTTTTTAGAGCAGTTAGGAGAAGCTGATGGTTTTTTTAGTAAGTTCAATTCGTTTTCTTATTTATAGATAAAGATTGTTTTTTGCAAAAAGAATTATAAAATAAAGTTTTATATATGTATTTAATATGAAAAGTTAAATAAAATAAGACTGTTATTTGTGTTCATGTAAGCTTATATACATAAGTTTGCGTTTATTTTAGTCTATTTTATATTTCTCTATATCTATACTATATGTATATTTTCTCTTAGCAAAAGTTATTGAGAATAGAAAAATAAAAAAAATTCTTCTGGAATTTGTCAAATTTTGACAAATTCCAGAAGAATTTTTTTGACTCAAAAGAATGTTGTGTTATGCTTCATTTTAAGGTATCTAATTATGTATTTATTTTTCATTTTTTAGAAGAAGTTAGAACTAAATTGACTGGTAAAATAGTTTTATTAGCACAATGTTTCTTTTTTAAGAAAACTGTTTCAGTTCTTTCATTAGTCTTTTTAAAACATTTTAAGCAAGTATTTGCTTTAATTTTTAGAGCAGTTAAGACGAAATGATCGCTTTTTTAGTAAGTTTACTTCATTTTCTCATACATAGGCTAAGATTTTTTTTATATAGAATAAATAATGAGAATAAAATTTTATTTATGTATTTAATATGAAATGTTAAATAAAATAAGACTGTTATTTGTGGTCATGTAAGTTTATATACATAAGTTTGTGTTTATTTCCGTCTATTTTATATTTTATATCTATATGTATATTTTCTCTAAGGAAAAATGATAAGGAATAGAAAAATTGCTCTGGAATTTGTCAAAAGAGTGTTGTGTTATGCTTAATTTTAAGGTATCTAAATATATACTCATTAGAAATTTTTAATTTTGTTTTTAAATGGTTTATTCTTTTTCATTACTTTAGATAAATATATACTGACTGACATAACTTCATTTTTATTAACAATGTCGTGCATTATAGTCTGCATTCTTTGTACATTTAAAATAATTGATGCTAATAAATGTTGTGTTATAGTTGTTAAAAGTTTGCATATATGTTTGCATGTATATTATGATCAAAGTTAAAATTTTTTTGATAAATACGTGTATGTGGTGATATATGTTATATAGTTGTTTTATAAATGTGTTTTTATAATAGTATGAAATGTATTATATCTAACTTCTGCAAGATTGTTAAATGGGGTGTTTTTATATGCTAAGTAACATTAAAAAAATATATTGTTTTATAATTAGTATATATGTTTATAAATGTTGTTTCCATGATTTCAAAGTGAAGTGACTTGGCAAACGTGTAGAGCAAGATTTATCAACCTTACCAGTCAAGCGATGTTACTGCTTTAGGTCTAAGTGTTGCCTAGCCTTTAATATAACTATTGTGAAAACACATTGTTTTATCTTTAATAATTTTTTGCGTAATGTTGTTACCTTTGGTTTATCTTTACGTTGGTGTCAGCTGTTAAAAATGATTAATAAGTAGTTTCATTATTAGAACTCACTGCTTTTATTTATTTACTGAAATTCATTTCGCTATAAATACAATTTGTTTATCATAAAAAAATAATATTTAGCAACTACTACTCAGGTATCACCACAGCTTATCTCTATCAGGTACATTAATTTTCAATTCACATATGATGTTTTTCTTT